GTCAGGCGTTGGGTAAATAAATATGAGGAGACAGTTTAGTCCCTGTCCTCACGGAGGTTCCATTCTAGCCAGGAAAACGTAATTCACGCTCAGTTACAATTATGGACCGATGCAGGTACTGTGAGATGGTACAGCAGCATCTCCTGACACTATCCAGACTCACTTTGTCTGCTTTATGCTAGAATCAGCCTTGCTACTCAGAGTGGCCTGCAGATAATGAGCTCCGGCCTCTCCTGGGAACTTGTCGGAAATGCAGACTCTCAGCCCCACTCAGACCTACTGCATCAAGACCTGCTTTTTAACAAGCTCCCGGGGGACTCAGGCATAGCAGGGTTTGAGAAGCACTGGTCTGAAGGGGGAGTGGAGTCGGCAGTCCACGGCAGGTGGCGGAGGGGCCCTGAGCAGGCTCAGAGTGGAAGGGGCTTGGCAATTTGAGACAGTGAAGGAAGGCCAGTGTGGCTGGTGGGGTCAGCAGGGAGGCCCCCAGTTTGGGGCTTGCCATGGCTTTGGGACCTCTTCAGACCCTCCTGGGAACTTCAGTTTCCTCACCAGCCATGGGGCTGTTGCGAGGATCAGATTAGTTAAGGTGTCCGAGAATGTTCACAACTGTGAGGCCCCATCACTGCTCTTCTTTTGGAGAGAAGGGAGAAGAGCTGTGGCTGCGGATGCTCACTCCATTACCCTCCTGCGTCTACAACGTCGGGTGCGGCGAATCACAAGGAAAGCATGGCGCGCCGATGAAGAGTTCATCAACCTCAGCCCAAGCCCAGGCAGGGCGGGAAAAGACTCTTGAGCTATAACTGCTTATTGTTGGAGGTATACTGGGGGTCATTACAAATTGTGGAACCCGGGGGGTTAGGGCCATCCTGGGGACAGGATCGCCCCCCACCCCCCGCAGTCTCACTTCCTGACTTTAGCCCCCAGCTTCCTATCACATTGTCACATGCAGAATGAGGGGACACAGAGGGTGACCTTTGTACTGTCTCTAGGGAGAGGGGATAGAACTTAAAAAAAAAAAAAACCACACAACTAAGCCAAAACAAAACAACTGCACAAGAAAGACAAACAGAAAAATAAACATCACCTCAAAAGTAAAGGCCTTGAATTTCATGGTCTTTGATTCCCATTATTTACTCTTATTAATCGGATTGGAATATCGGGTTTCCAAGGCTCTTATCTACACCCAGGGCTCCTGGTTAGTCTGTGTAATTCTACCCCAGGCTTGGGAGACAGACAGGAGACACAGGAGACCCAGAGAGCTCCTCTGTGTCCTCCATTTCACAGGCTGTTGTGTAGCCTCAGGCATTAAACTAGCCGATCAGCTTGGCTTTACAACCTGAAACCACTCTCCCTCCTTGTTTCTGTCCCTAACATTTATGTAACAGGGCCTCGGAGGGGTTCACAGCACACTTTCTGCCGTGTGCCATCTTATTTGTCCTCACAACAGACGTGGGCTTTTTCAAAATGTTTGCTTTAAATTCCTAATTCATAGAAAGGCAAATCCAGGCAAAGAAAGTTGAGGTGAGCAGTTTGAGATTCCCCGGGTGGAGGCAGTCAGTGGCTGCGCAAGACCAGGAGTCAGAGGTTCTAGCATTTATTTCAGAGATTCTTTCATCACCATCAGAAAATATTTAAAGAACAGAAAAATACTAAAAAGAAAATCTCCATAGTGCTTATTCCCTCATCCAGAGTCAAGCACTGGGGCACCTTGGCTATTTACTTTCAGCCTCTCACAGCATCCACAGCCCTCTAAAAACTACACAACATGGGAGGCCTGCCCTGTGGCCTAGTGGTTACATTTATATGTTCTGCTTCGGCGTGCAGGCTCGGTTCTGGGTGCACATCTATGCCACCTGTCAGGGGCCATGCTGTGGCCACGACCCACATACAAAATAGGGCAAGATTGGAACTGATGTTAGCTCAGGGCTAATCTTCCTCAGCAAAAAACAAAAGATAAAAAAATTACACAATATGTGCATTCAGCTAATTCAGAAATGTATATAAGAACATTATAGGTAATGCAAAAGCCCTCTTGACACCCTCCCATCTTGACTTGTCCACCATCCCAAAGGCACCTTTATGGGATTGGCAGGTATCTTCACAAATTCTTTCATATTGTTTTGCCATATATACCATGGTATAGCAGTTAGTCATTTCTACTGACATTTCTTCCTGATGTTTATCCATACTTTCAGAATGGGTTCAGTTTTTTGTGGCTGTATAGTATTCTCTCATATGCCAGTGCTATTAATTTATTCACTCCACTCTAAGGATTAAGTCATTTCCAGTTTCTCACTGTGGCAGACTGCAACAATGAATGCCTTTATACGTTTCTCTTAGTGCCTACGTGGAAACGTTTCTCTAGGACTGAATCCTAGAAGAGGAATCGTTGGGGCACGAGTCATGCACATTTTCAGTTTTAACAACTACTGCCAAACTGCCTTCTAAAGAGCCTTACCTCACACCTTGTGAAAAAATTCTTGCTCTTCTCAGACTTGTCCAAGTATAATTTCAAGTTAAAAAATATGACTTTCCAATATGTTCCTACAAATAAGGAATACACGTGTCAAAAATTTATTCAATCACTAATTAATGAGGAAATTTGTAAGATGAAAAAGCTGATTGAAAGACCATTTGGAGAAATGGGTTTACATAGTCCTTAAAAAATATTAAAATAGGATTGCTAGGCTAGAAGTGAGAATGGTTAACGTCCTGCAGGGCAATAAATTATAACCTTTGAGGTTATCTTTTCTTTGGTACAAAAAATATTTGCATCTCTACCAGGCACAAATCTCTAAGTTAATATATAATCTTACGGAGTCTTAGCCTTTCATTAATAATAAACAGCAACATCAAACAATGGTGCATTCTCCTAGAAAATTAAGTAATCCTTTGGCCTTTAAACAATGCTTCAAAATGTCAGTGAAAGGACACACTTTGAAAGAATGATGATTCTTTTGGCTTTGTTTTCAGATTTTGGGTACTTTTTCTTAGATTTTACAAATCTATATCAATGCAATGGATTTAAAAATGGCAGCTCATTGTGTTTTGATCCGAATTTCTGTCATTATTAGCAGCATTTGGGGGCTTTCTATTTTTAATTGGCCATCTAGTTTTCTCTAGTTCCAGGTCTCTTTAAAGAAACATCACTGATACGAAAATACTTTCTTCTTTTTAGTGAACCAGGAACGCCTGACGCAAAGTGAAGGGCAGCTTCACAGAGTTAGGCCTCTTAGGCAACAAGGGAATGGAGACCTGATGGCTCCTAGGAAAGATTTTACACGGCGCAGGGTGCCCGAAAAACAGGATGCGTAACAGCACCTTCAATCTGGCCTCTAAAGTCCTGGGGAGGCCGCTCAGCCCAAAGGCAGTAGGAGAAAAGGGGTGTGCGTCCAGGGAGGATGAGGCTGGGGGAGGCCTCGCTGAGGAAGGTGGACCTCAGCTCTGCTCTAGCCTCTGCCCTCAGGTCCCTCCCGCACTGGGCGGACTGCGGTCCGTCGGTCAGTCTACTATCAGTCGCACAGCATCTACTGACAGCCTGCCACAGCCGGGGGCGGGAGAGGCTGCTAGATTTTTCACAGGGCAAACCGGGAGAAAGACCAACACAGGCAGGTAAACACGAACCCAGATGTTGAACTTTGACGATATATCCGAAAGTCTGAATAAAACCTGGCGGCGGCGATGCGGGGCGGGGGGCATCTCGGTCTGGACTGAGTCAAGTGACCTGCATAACAGCGCTCGGGCCTCGAACCTTTGTCGCCCTAGTGGGCTTTCAAGACTTTCCAGAACGCTGCACAGCGCCGAGGGCCCTCGTCCTGGCTCTCCTACCGCGCCTAGGGCGATGCGAGGTCACTGGAGACACTTCTGGAACCAACTTCCAATTCTTAAACTCTCGCATGAAATGATCTTCCCGTGAGGAGCAGCCTCAGGAACAGGAGGCTGCGAATCACGGCCGCTGCGATTCGTTTCACCGTGGACAGTGTCCCCACTGCCCCGTCTCACAAACCGCTCCCGGCCCACTCGGGGACGCTCTGTCCCAGGAGACCCCTTTCCACCCCCGCTCCGCCCGCTTCTTAGCAGGGGGCTTCCTTCCTTAGGAGGGCCTCGGCTGGTGGGCGGGTCGCGGTCCCCGGAGACACCCTTCCCGGGCAAGGCCTGACCGCTGCTGCCCGACCCGCCGCGTCCCCGCCAGCATGCCGGCGGCGGCCGGGCCTTGGCCGGGCTGTGGCACGACTGGAATGCGCGGGGGGACGCCGGGCGGGGGACGCGCGCGGGGCGGGCCGGCCTCGGCCTCGGCCTCGGGCCCCCAGCCCCCGGCCCCCCGCCCCCGGCCCCCCTGCCCCCCGGCCCGGGTGGGTAGGCAGGCGGCGGTGCGGAGACCAGGGCGCGCCTCGCTCGGCGGTCGGGCCGCCCTCCCCTGCCCGACGCTTGCAGGGTCCGCCCCGTCGCGGGCCGGGGGCGGGGGCGCAGGAGGATTCCCAAGCCTGGAGAAACGGAAGGAGAAACAGCCCCCGGGCCCGCCCTCCCACACCCCTCCCCCAAGTCTCGCCCAGTCCGGCCCAGCGGCTCGGGGCCGGGGGGACGGAAGCGGCGGGCCGGCAGGCCGGCGGGCGGGCGGGCGCGGAGGCGGGCCCAGCGCTCGGGTTTCGGCCCCGCTCCGGCGGCCCGGGGTCCCCGCGGCGCCAGCAGCGCGCGCTCGGGGGCGGGGGCCCGGGCGCGGCGGCCAGGCCCTCCCTCCGCGCGGCCGGCGGCGCGTCCTCTCCCCGGAGACGGGAGGAGGGCGGACCGGCCGCGGCCTCACGTCGGCGGCCGCGCCGCCCGCGATGGGAAGTGCCTTATAAAGCCGCCGCCCGGCCGCGCCGGTCCGACTCGTCGCCGCGCTTTGGCGGAGTGCGCGGCGCCCGGGGCAGACCCGACGGACCCCGGGCCCTGACAGCCCGCGGACAGGCCCCGGTCCCGGCAGAGCCCGGCCCGGCCTCGGCTCCGGACAGCCCCCGGCAGAGCCCGGCCCGGCCCCGGCTCCAGACAGCCCCTGCCCGACTCCGGCTCCGGTCAGCCCCCGGCAGAGCCCGGCCCGGCCGGACGCGCCTCCTGCCGGCGGGCGGGGGCGGGGCGGGGGGCGCCCCGCGGCGGGGGATGCGCGGCCCGCGGCATGGCCTCGGCGGTGTTTGAGGGCACCTCGCTCGTGAACATGTTCGTGCGCGGCTGCTGGGTGAACGGCATCCGCAGGCTCATCGTCAGCCGGCGCGGCGACGAGGAGGAGTTCTTCGAGATCCGCACCGAGTGGTCGGACCGCAGCGTGCTCTACCTGCACCGCAGCTTCGCCGACCTGGGCCGCCTGTGGCAGCGCCTCCGCGACGCCTTCCCCGAGGACCGGCCCGAGCTGGCACGCGCCCCGCTGCGGCAAGGTTCGGGGCCGGGGCGGGGGGCCCCCGGTGGGGTCTTGGGGGAGGCAGGGTTGCCAGGTCGTTCTGAAGTGCAGTAAAGGGAGGAGGGGAACGCAGGGGAAGTTGATTAAACCACGATTGCGGCACGGGACAGGACACACTTGGACCCTCCGCCCCAGAGGAGGGATGCCCAGGGCGGCGGTGGTGGGAGGACGAGGAGTCGGCCCCTGGAGTCCCGAGGCCCTCCCGGCCGAGATCGGCGGGACGCGCGCCCTGACCGTCACCGACGACGAGTCGCTGACCAGTACCTGTGCGGCGGCCAGAGTCCGGGCGGCCCCCAGGTCGCTCAGCACCAGCCCCTGCTCGGGAGTGGTGGCCGCCTCCCTCCCCGCCCTGCCCGGACGGCGGCAGGAGGGGACTGGGGAACCGTTTGGGAAGAGCTAACGACAGCGTCCGGTTGGGGGTCGCGTCGTGTCTGGCAGCCGTGCCTCTTATCTTCTCGGGTGACGGAGAAGCCTGAGCGCGAGATGCCACGCAGCCTTCTGTCACTCCTCGGGAGGGGCCGCCGAGGGAGAGCCCAGGTCCCCACCCAGGGCTGGGTCCACATTCGGTTTGGATTAACTGCAGCCGCCTCCTCTGTGGCCTTGTGACTGGTCCTGGCTTGCGGGGACTCGAGTTTTCAGCGAACCACTGTGGCTTCCCATTTCTTACCGCCCAGCTGACGCCCATCCCACGGGCTGCCCTTTGCAGGCCCGGCAGACAGGAGGCTGGAAGAGGGGAGGAAGCCAGAGAGGCTGGAGTGACGGGAGGGATTGGACGCCCGGTGGGGAGCCTGGGCCGGCCGGAGGAGAGGTGGGGGCAGGGGGGACCAGGAAGTCTGCAGGGCTTCTGAGCAGGCTCCCCCCTCTGCGCAGTGTGTGACCACCTGCAGCTCTTGGAGTCGGTGCCACTTCATCGAGAAGCCTTGCTCTCTGCAGCCTCCTTATAAGCAGAGCCTTGGCGGCCCCTTTGGGGGCATTTACTGAAGCTGAGGGGGGCGGGGCAGGTCTCCTTAGCTGCATTCTGCCTGAGGTGTTGAGATAACCTCTTCTACCCCCTGGTGATAGCCCCCACCCCAGCGTGTGAATTACAGGGATAATTAGCTCAGTTCTGGTGACACATCCTCTGGCAGACACATGGTTTGGAAAGGCTCCCAAAGCCAGAGAGCCTGCAGGCCCTGAGTGGGAAGGCCTGCCCTTCCGGCTTCTCTCTTTGATCCCGATTCTCACGTTTATAGCCTTTCTGGGGATAGTTTAGTATTATTTCAAGCATGGCAGCGGTTTTCCTTGGATTTGCTATTTGGGCGTGTATGTTGTTTTTTTTAATGTAACAAATGAGTGCCCAAATCAGGAAAGCTTAGATGAAGGAACAGGGCTTTATTCAATGACTTACATCCTTTTTGGAACAAGGTGGGCCATAAAAAATTGGAGCCCCAGAGAACTGGCGGAGTGCCTGCGCCCACTCCCATCTAGGTCTCACTCGGGTCAGCTGGCCCAGCTCAGCTGTGGGCCCAGCCCGACGCCTTGGCATCAGCTCCCCGTGTCACTCCTCCGCTGTGACATAGTAGGGATTGCCTGCCTTTGTGCATAGGAGGATTAAAATGCACAGTAGGGTGTCTAGCAATGGTGAGCCCTCCGTAAATGCTCACTGTGGTGATTGCCCTCAGCATCAGCTGCTTCTGCCTCGGGTACAGCTAGTGGGGAGCAGGGTTTGGCTTTAGTTGCTCTGGGACATGGTAGTGAACACACCTTAGCTGGAGCGGAAGGGAGGTGCGGGACCCGCCTGCCTTGCACACGCCCTGGCTCTGTCCCTCCTGTGCTTATGGGAGTTGTGTTGGGTCGGTTCTGGATTCGTGAGGTGTAGACACACAGAGACTGCCTCGGAACAGTGGACCACCTGTAAGTGAGGAAGGTTTAGGAAGATGATCATCGCCAGGGAGAAAAGATGGCTCAGAAGGGCTACGATGGCTGCTTTCAAGTGTCTCAAGGGGGGACGCAAGAAATAGGCATTAGACGCGGTGGTGGTGGCAGGGGTGTCGGGGCGGTTAGGATGAGGACCAGTGGGTGGGTGTCAGGGACTTTCCAGCAGCCCGTGGTGGAACCATTGGCGCCGTCTCGGCTGGGGTCCTGTGCAGCACAGACCTCCTGCAAGGGCCGGCCCAGCGCTCCCAGGAGGGGTGACCTTGATCAGAACAGAGGTTCTAGTCTTGATTGTCTGCACACAGGCACACTGGTCCCTCCGCCAGCACCACCTGCATCTTGTTGTACATCCCAGGCGAAGTCCTTCTCATTTCTTAGATCCTTTTAAGTCCAGGGAAATTGTTTGCTAAGTAAAATACATCACGGTCCTGTCCAAAAAGATTCCACCTTATTTCCACGCAGATTTGTTATTTGCATAGGAAGGTTGGATATGCGAACTGTAAATACAAAAGGCAACCAATGTGTGTGGCGTTGGCAATGCCAGTTTTTGTCATGGGATCCTTGTCAGACTCCCTCAGTTTAAATTCACTGAAATGTTTCTGGGCTGGGTTAGGCGTGTGTTCCCCGGTCTCACTGGAGTGCTGGTGAGGAAGTCTGGGGTCACTGCTCGTGCTGGCAGCCGACTGGGAGCCCCTGTAAACGTCTCACGGATGCCTTCGGTGGTGAAAGCCATGCCTGCTGTTGCGTTTTGAGTGTACAGGCAGTTAAAGGGGTGCTGAGCCCTTTTCCTAGTCCCTCGAGTGTTGCAGTGGGAGAACGTCTGCATGGGGACGATGTGCTTTTCTCCTGCTGCACACGCTGTTGTCAGGCGTGGCCGCCGTCCGGGTCTTGTGGGCTTCAGTGACACCTGTGCGGAGGCCTTTACGCCCCATGTGGGGCGGAGGCGCGGTGCTCCCAGCTCACCTCTCTGGCCTTCTGTCTGGGCGAGGCCGGCCTCAGGACTTGGCCTGAGTCTGTCCTCTCTGCTTTCTCCTTGGAATCCTGGCCTCTCATCCTGCCCTCTTCATCTGGATCTGATGGCCCCACCTCTTCCTTTCTTGTGGCCCAACCCTAGGGGATGGCGATAGCTGCTTCCTGCGGATGTTATCTCTGGGTCACCAAGGTGTCCCCTTTCTACCTTTTCCCCACTCAGACCCTGTGGGGCCATCTTTCACGTAAGTGGCCTCGGTGCGGTACTTAACGTGGCTCAGGGTTTCCTGACCAGACCGTGGCCGAGGGCTCCTACCTAGGACACCTCTCACATCCAGGAAGGTCCACCATTAAAACATAAACATGCAGAATTCCCCATGGACTGTTTGGGGCTCCTGGACTGTCTTGATCCTTTTTGGTGGCATCTATTTCGGGCCTTGGGAGGGCTGAGCTGTCCTGGTCACCACCACAGCAATAGGTTCTGTTTCCAAAGTAGGCAGCTGCTCTTTGGTTCTTGGTTACTGTGAAATCAACATTTGGTTGTTCACTCATTCATTCATTCATTCAGCAAGTACCTGCTGAATGCCTGTCATGTGCCAGCCACTGTTCTAGGTGCTGGGGGCACATCAATGAACAAAACAGACACCAAAATCTTTGCCTCATGGTTTTCACGTTCTGGTTGGGAGAAATCCAATAATAAACAAGACAAGTGGAAAATATGTTAGTGGTAAACGTTCAGGAGAAAAAGAAAGTAAGTGAAGAAAGGGCCTGTGACTTGTAGGGGCAGAGGACCCAGGGGAGGGGTTGACTGTCGGGGGCGGGGGGGAAGGTCTCAGAGGAAGTGACCTTTGAGTAGAGACCTGAAGGAAGGGAGAACAAGCCAGGTTGATATCTGGGGAAGAAAGAGCTTTCCAGTCAGAGGCAAGAGCAAGTGCAAAGGCCCTGAGGCCACGTGTGCCTGGCGGCTCTAAGTGGTGAGGAGGCCCTTGTGGCGAGAAGGAAGTGATGAGTAGTAGACGGTCACGGAGGCAAGGAGTGGGCAGATCTGGCTCAGATTTGGGCTCTTATTCAGAGATGCTTTGAGTGGAGGAGTAACTTGATCTGAGCACACTCTGGCTGCTATGCTGAGAAAGACTGGAGGGGCAGGGAGAGCAGGGAGAGGTACTGGCGGTCCCCAGCTGTGGCTGAGCAGGCGTGAGAAGTGGTCAGACACCGATGTGTCTGGAAGGGAGACCACAGGATTACTGGGAGACCACACGGGCGTGTAAAGGAGCGTCAGGGCCGACAGCAGGGCCTTCAGCCTGAGACGTGGGACGCCGTTCACTGAGGGGGCCTGGAGGAGCTGGTGCAGGGGCCCGGCTGTGAATGCCACGTTGGAGCCTTTTCTCCAAACAAGGACTGTCCTGGAGAGCCTACGAGTGGTGCTGGTGGCCTGTCCGTCTGCCTTTCTCTTTGAGGACATTTGTCTACCTGTGCGTTCTCTCGCCGTCCGAGGTCCGAGACCTGAGGACGTCCTGCCACCTTTGTCACCGAGGATGTCCATCCTCCTGCACACTCGCCCACCGTCTGAGGTTTGAGATCCGAGGAACGGGAGGGAGGGATCCAGGCTGTCACCAGAATGGCCTGGACACGGATCCGCCGCCAGGCTGCCTCTGCCCTGACCGCTCTAGGAAGACGCGTGCTCACTCCCAGGCCGGAGCCTGCCCACCTGCTCCCACGTGGACGGACCCTGCGCTACCAAGAAACAAGGGGGAGGATGCCACCGATGCGGGGGACGAACCACAGAGCCGCTGAGTCAACCTTCTTAGTGAAAGTGGCTGAAAAAAGAGCAGAGGCCACAGGATCCCAGGCAGCGGGTGAGGGGTGCAGAGCCCGTGCCCGCCCTGCCTGATGGGCCCTGCCTGAGGTGCCCGGTGGGCCTGCCTCCACCCCGGACACAGGCCCCCCAATGCGTAGCATCATCTCTGGGCATCCTGCCCCTTCTAACGGGCTGTTTTCACCTCACAGGGGGATCTGAGGGGCTCTTTCTGACTCGCAGATCTGTTTTTGAGTCTCCTACGAGTACAGGTCTCCGGGCTGCCGTGCTTTTCCCAC